CCAGATGTCAAACCTAATTCCAATGACCTAGTAATGACATGAACGGGAACTCAATGAAGTTCCTAGACCACAGGAGGAAATTTTTCCCATTTGAAATAGCATGTTTTAATACACTAGGAATACTTTATGAAAAGCATATACATTCTAGATGTCTTGAGATAGCAGCAACCAGGACACACAGACTGGCCTGCTTTGTCAAGTTCACAGTTTAGCCTGAGGACAGCATGAACGCAAACACAAGCAACTAGCAGCACTTCCGTAAGTGGAGACACAGGAACCAGGAAATCATGTGACTAAGACTCGACCGTACTTTTTAAACCTTTTAAACCCAACTCAGGATAGGAAATCTATTTACATTGTAACCTTCCTCCCACAGATTTACGGAAAAAATAATGCACAAACACATTCATATACACCTGTACCTAGAAAATTGTCACAAAACAGTATTTGCTGTTATAATGTGTGACAAAGTCTAATACTTCCAAGCCTTTTTTCTTTTTGTATTGCCATGGTCTTGAACCACAGAGCTGATTTTAGGAGCTCTGTACAGGTTATGACCTGAAGTTAGAGGAGCACGGACCTATACCCAGCCTCTTTATGTGATATTTTAACTGAAGAAACACCCCATTTTGTTGGCTACCAATCACAAACTACTGCCTTATGGTAGCATATTTGTTTCTTAACAAATACGATTAAAAAGCTTTTCCTTGCAAAGGACTATGGAAAATCTGAATGAAACAGAACAACTCTAAACAAACAAATATTCTCGGGATTCGGGGGGAGGTGCGTGGGAGAAAGATCTAATTCAGTGGCCCCCAAATCTAGCATGGATCTACCCATCACTATCCTGCAAGAAGTTCTATTAAATACAGCCCCTGGGTCCCACTCACAATCTACGGAGCAGATTATCCAGCAGCGAATCGGGACTGTGTACTTTTAAGGTTTCCATGGATATGTCTACCCTGTTGGTATGAAAGTGGCTGCCTGAGTGTATGTACTCACCACTCTCTACACTCTCAAAGTCTCTTTGGAATAATTGCACATAAAAGTGTGCGCATCATGACAGCAGTACTAGAGGATACAAAGAGCTTCACTGGAAAACTGGAACATTAGGGAATTTCTGAAGGATATAAAGTAGATGGAATCAGTAGAACCACATGTTGCCAAGGTACCTGTAATGGACAGGACCGTTCCCTTGGGGGTGAACACTCTGGCCAGAGGTAGAGAGCTCTGCAGGGCGACAGAGAAGGGTCCACTGGTGATTTGCTACCTCTCATTCCCAGAGGGGCTGACTCCTGCACTGTCCCTGGTGTGAGGATGAGGGAAGAAGGGCAGTGCTCCAGCCAAGTTCTTGCTGTCATGATGGCCAACATGACCCAGTTCCCAGAAGGCAAGCTTCTTGTGTGTGCGAGTCCCACAGGATAGCCCAAGCCTCTGGACGCCCTTCTTTGCGGACAGAGATCTTGTGCTTACAACCAATACTACATTTATGCTGAGAGAGCAAACCAACCTAAATGCTCATTAATATGAATGGCTAGCCTCCCCCCCAAAAAAATCACAGATACAAAAAAAGACGCATTTTTGCTGACTTTACCAACAAATACAGGTTCTAATTCCAAGGGTAAAAGCAACTTCTGGAAACCAAACAAAATGCTCTCTTATTCAAAAACAGTAAAAAGCTACCAGAAAAAAAAATGCAATCAGACTACTCGGAAATCAAAATTGTGAGGCCAAGGAAAACAAAACCTGCATCCACACAGCACTTTAAAGGAAGGGCAGCATTGAGAATGAGTTAACCCGTCACTGACCTCCTCAAGGCAATCAGGCTCTGCGTCTCGGGGCAATGCTTATCAAGTGTGCTTTGGCAGGGTCCTCAGCACGCCACAGGCTAGGGTCAGAGCCAGTGTGGGGATGGAAAAGGACAGGGCCAGGGCCAGTGTGGGGATGGGAAAGGGCAGGGCCAGAATGGGTATGGGAAAGGGCAGGGTCAGGGCCTGTGTGGGGATGGGCAGGGCAGGGCCAGGGCCAGTGTGAAGATGGGCAGGGTCAGGGGCAGGGCCAGTATGGGGTTGGGCAGGGTCAGGGGCAGGGCCAGAGTGGAGATGGGCAGGGGCAGGGTTAGTGTGGGGATGGGCATGGGCAGGGCCAGTGTGGGGATGGGCAGGGGCAGGGCCAGGCTCCCCATAGGTGAGTTGAGTCCTACCCCCAATGCCACATCAACTTCTCCCAGGTTGCTTCCTCACCTGGGAGGTTCAAGAACCCTTCACTTTACTAAGGCCTCATCTCCTGTTTGAGTTCAGCTTTGTGAAAGCTTCCTTGCCCCTCTTCCCCCAAGTGATCACACATCTTGTGTGCTCTCCTAACATTCCTGAATATCGCTACAATTCTAACATACTACATCATAAGACCTACTTGTGTCTCTCTCATTACATTGTAAATGCTCTGAGGGCTACTCAACCAGAAGCATTAGTTCTACTGACCACGCACACCTGGTTCTACAGACCATGCATACCTATAGGCAAGTAGACAAAAAATGGTTGTCCATCATATGCACAAGTAACCCCCATTCTATAAAGGTGTTCCATGAATTTATCTCATACTGGTGCTCCATGAATTCCATAGGATGTGACGTCACTTTGGAGGTTTTTGAATTTCTACCACACACCAAATAGTTGAAGCAAATAAATCTAATAATTCAGCAATTTGTTCAAATGCTAAGAAGTTCTACAAAAAAGCCAGTCAATATATTTTTGCTTTCCCCAAAATGGCTATAGAGTCAGATGCTTTCATTTGCAGGATGCTGAGGGTCTGAGGGTTCTGCAGAAGTACTCATTTTAAGGCTTTACACAGATGACTCTACTCTTCCTGGTGTTTCTTACTCTTTGTCCAGTGAAATGTAACACTTTGCAACTCTACTATGACCAGATGTGGCAGGGTAAAGAGACCCTAACATATGTTATAATCATTGCTGCAGGTCACCTGCTAGCTACCTGTATCGTGAGTAAAAACTAGCAAAATTGGAGGAGGCATTTGGGATAGCTTTTAGATATCTGCACCCCATATTACAGTGCCTAGGTTCAAATTCTGGTTATGCTTCTGATTCCAGCTTCCTGCTAATGTCCCCATGGGAGGCAGCAGTTGATGACTTAAGGTCTTGGTTCCTTTGTAGTTCAGACTGGGTTTGGGGTTCTGAGTTTGGGAGTCTGGCCAACCCCCTCAGTTGTGGTCATTTCGGAAGTGGACCAGCAGATGGGTCCTCTCTGTCTCTTCTGACTTGCCCCTAGACGCGATGTATTCAGTACAACGCCTCATGGACCACATGCACCAACAGGAACAGCGCAAAAACCTTCTCTGCCTCAAAGGCAGATTAGCATGAAACACCAGGATAAGCATAGAGACAAGCCTATGCCGAAACATGGAGAGTGTGAGCAAGAAGAGAAAGACTTGAAACTGCTGACTCATTTGTCTCAATGTCTTTATAGAGCATGCCTTTTAAATAAAATTATAAATAATTACATTAATCCTTATACTAATCTTTCTATTATAACTGACTGGGTGAAACCTTTCCAGATTAGAAGAAAAAATGTTTCAGGGACAACCAACCAAACTCAGTTCCCCGACAGAGCCAGAAGTTTAGGTGCTCAGAAGCCCAGCAATCCTGACCGCCTGGGAGCAGACCTCCGACGCACTCATGGTGGTGTCTTTCTTTAAATTGCTCTCAATACAGAAGAGCACAGAAGGAGAAGAACAAAGCTGGTTGAGTCTAAGGGTTTGCAGCATCTTTAGCCACCGGTATTTTACAAATCGCAAGAAGGAGAGACTGTTTCTCTAGAAGAGTTGCATGTGGTCCACGGAGAGAGATTGCCGAGAGAAATCTGAGTGTCCCTTCCATTGCCACAGATGAGAAATCAGACCTCCCCAACAAAGCAGGCAGGGAGCAGGAAGGCCACATGAAATGGAGACTGGGGAGAGTATGAAATGTCTATTGAACACTTTGATATATTTTTAAGAATTAAAAATAAAGATTGCGCAAACTTTTCTTTGACATACTACCTCTATGCAAAAGTTTATGACTTTAATCAAACTTTGGATAAACTCCATACCTTTTAGAGACACAGCAAAGAAGAGAGTGAACTCTTCAGTCTAATGAGGGAAGAAAATAATGCAAAAAGAAAATACACAGAAGATAAATGGGTTTTATACGGATCTGGAGTTCAGGAACAGATATGCTTTAAAGCATTGTTTACTTAATTGGCACCCTCTTCTAAAAGCAGATCCAAGGAACAAGCTCAAAGTGAAACTAAACAGGTGAGGGAGAAGCACACATCTCAGCTCAAATTAAGAGGCTGGAAGGAGAAGGCAAGGGACAGGGACGGGGCGGGTGTCCTTCTGCGTGGACAACGGGACGGCCAGCCTCACTTCCAAGCTGAGACCTCCCGCACACACGCTGAATGAGGCTGCATCTAACAAAAAGGCTGACTCCTTTAATCCAAGAGACACAAAATTTATAGTGTATATATTCTAGTCTATTGTCTCTCAGCAGCAATTAATTCTAAGCACAGATACCAAGTTAACCATAGTTAAGTATGACCTAATTAGCAAGCAACTCAGTGACAAATATCAAAATTGCTTAGAAGCTACACAAATTACTGATTATTATCTATGAAAGAAATTTAACAACACTGACTAGTACAGTCAATGTCAAACAAAGGACAGCAAATTGCATATTGAAATCTCCAAGTGCTCATGTTTGACAAGAGAAACACTGTTAAGTACAATTCAACAAAAAGCACACGCTGTACTAATTTCATCATTTTGGCACTAGAGGCAATAATTCTTGCGCAAAGAACTTTATCATAAGACTGTCCTGTCATTTTTCAATTTTAGCTCTTCCAGGTCACTGAAACTCTCCACGGTATTTCCAACCTCAATCTAAAGCCCTTGCTACCAACCACACAATCCAGTTACTAACAAATGACAAGCTGGGAATTTCCACTTACCTAGATATATTGTTGTAGCTGAGGAACAGACGTTGGAGGCAGGGCAAATTATCCACATCTCTCTAGAAGGAAACAGAAAGCAAAATTTATTTGTTGAAAGAGCAGCGCTCTTCGCAGCATCCTTGGGCTCAGCTGCTGAGACACAGAGTCATTTTCATTTACTGCAACCTGGCTACAGCACTGATTTTGACTGGACGTTGAGCTCCATTCTTCCTCACTGCAGATTAAATGGGAGGGTTCCGCACATCCGCAGAGCAGGCTGCACTGCTTGCCAGCAAAGAGCGCGGAAGTGAACAGAGAGAGCCGGTGCTGCTGAGTCTCAGCGTGCTCTCGGGAAAGATGCCAAAACGCTACTTCAGCATTTCAACTGTAGCACAAACAGTTCCTGCCAACATTTGTGAAGAGCCCAACCTTCATTTTTTTTTTAATACAATGATCCCAAATAATAGTGAGAATTTCAAAGCTATTTTACCTCATTATTCTCAACCCCCAGGAGGTATACCACACAGTAAAGAATAAATAGATCCACAGACAATTATCCTAATAAAACTAAAGGCAGGTCATAGTAAACAACACTGAAGGGCAGCATAAGGGCAATTTTCAGACCTAACGCTAAGCTTACTGGCATCAGCCTTGTTACAGTCACACACAGCACCCTTAAAGCACATCATTGCTAATTTGGTAGTTACCCATAGAAAAAGTTGAGATTTATACACAGAAATGTTTTAAAAACAATGAAAATAATGGGAAGATGGTCCCAGGGCTGGCAGTGGGTTTCTGTGTGACAGACAGAGACAGGACAAGGGTCCAGTGGTCCCAAAATCTAGTACTCTGCTCTTTAAAGCCCTATATACCATCGCTTCTTGTGTTCTTCATTTTTAGGGCAGTATAATTTACAACAGCTCTCAGTCATGTAAGTTTGTGCAGACACATTTAAGCATATGCAGTTTTTATACTTTTATCATCAATACACAAATCTAATCAAAGTCTGCTTGGATTGTTTCCCAAGTCATCAGCTTCTTTCCTTCCTTTTTTTCTCCTCTCCCTCAATCCCCTCTTTTTCTCAACCCCCTTCTGAAGCACTATTTTGAAACAGCAGCTTTAGCTGTCGGCAAACTTCTTGAATCACCTCTTCCAGCTACTTTGTCACTGATATTTTGATAAAATGAAGTGCTGGGCTAGTGGCAGGGCTAATTTTATTCCTATTTTCCAAAAGCAATGACAGCCTCCTTGCCAAGGAGCCTCTGCAAAACCAGTCACAGCCCCACTGACAGCTCTCTGTGCTGCTGACGAATCTCTGCTCCCAAATTCTTCCAGGACGCTATCTAGAAAACTTCTAAACCCAAGAACTGCTGCCAGGATCCAACTGGGAGATCCTGAAAGAAAGTACCCTGGAGCTCCTTTAAATCCAGTTGTTTTTAAAAAGAAATTCATTTATCTCTTTAAACCCCAGCAAACCACCTTCAGAAACTGTGAACACCTTTCAAGATACAATTTTTCCCCCAGGATGGGAAATCTGGTGGGGCCTGGGTCTCCTGGCCCGGGTCTCAGGGCTCGCCTACTAGGTGGGTACAGGGTTTAGGAGCCCCAGGGGTGGGGAATGTGGCAATGCTTGGGACACCTGACCCAGGTACTTAGACTCGCCTGAAAGAACATACACTACATAACAAAAATGGTAGAGCAGTGGACACAGGACTTGTTGCAAAAGGAGAATAAGGCAGCACATTTGGTGCTGCAGCAGAAGGAGAACAGAACTAACTGGACAACAACCCCAAACAAACGATGACAGCAAGAAATCTCGGTGAGTGGAGCCAATGGCCATTGGGAGAGTGACATCATCCCCGGATCAGTGAAGTAGGCAGCATTCCAGAACTATCCAAAGCACTTTCACAGAACTCTCAGAATATATACACACCGAGACTCTGGGGTGATATGAGGTAGCGGTTCCTCATCCCTGGGTACTTGGACATTTGGAAAGTTTTGAGTGGCTTCCCCCTTTGCTTCTCCCTTTCCCCCAGGAACAAAAAGAAGAAATAGCAAATTTGGGAGCAATGAATTCACCCAAGTTTCCCTAAACCTTGATCCTGCCCACCCTAATCAACCATGTAATCATTATTTAAAAAACAAAATTTGTTTAAAAAAGAAGACACAATTTTCTGCAATTATAACATAAAGTCCAATAACATCAAGCTATAATTTTGGGGAAAAGATCTCATTAAGTTGTTTGCTTGATAAAATTATAGTCCTTTCTAATTATCTTCATTTCCAAAACAAATTTTGCTTTAAATCTACATTATCAAATTTTCAAAACTCTTCAGGCTTCATTGCCTGACAAACGTAGAGCATGTACAATAAATCATAAGGCAAAAAAAAAAAAGATTTAACTTCATACATTCTATAGCCACTGCCTTAGATAGCATTACCAGAACTTTGAAAAGCATAATTACACATAATAAATTTTGTTCCAAAATAATTTTTGAGCAATTCTGAGATTTAAAAAAAAAAATCTTTTAAAAGATTTATTTATTTTTATTGGAAAGGCATATTTATAGAGAGAAGGGGAGACAGAGAAAAAGATCTTCCATCTGCTGGTTTACTCCCCAAATGACTACAATAGTAAGAAATAAGCTGATCCGAAAGCAGGAGCCTAGGGCTCTTCCTGGTCTCCCACATGGGTGAAGGTCCCCAAGTTTTGGGCTGTCCTCCACTGCTTTCCCAGGTCACAAGCAGGGAGTTGCATCCCAAGTGGAGTAGCCTCAGCAGCCAGGACACAAACTGACACCCATGTGGGATCCTGGTGCTTGAAAGGGGAGGATTAGCCAAATGATAAGCTATTATTCTGGGCTCCTGAGACATACTCCTATAATGAAATCTTCGCAACATATCAGAGAAAACATCATATCAATTATCTGTGTTAGAAAAGAGATTTGTTAAAAAATTACAAGAAGGTGGCTCCTCTAGCACAAGACAATAAACCCAGCATGGAAAATAGTTAAAATCTAGGCTATGGGATTCTCCATCCAACAGTGTTAAAACCAAAATAAACCAATACCAAAAACATTGAGAGAGAAAGAGAAAGGTTTAGTAACCTTGACAGCAGCCAAGAGAGACCCAGCAGCCACCCACTCATGGAGACCTGGATGAAGTTCTGCACACTTGAATTTTTCCTGGCCCAACCTTGGCCTTTGTGGCCATTTGGGGGAGTGAACTAGAGGACTGAAGATCTCTTTCTTCTCTGCTCTTCTCTGTCACTCTTTCACATATATAAGTAAATTTTTTTTAAAAAAGAATAAATAAATAAAAAGAAATCAAAGAGTGACTCAGGGAAAGCAGGTGTAGAGGCCAGCAGAGTCAGAGGACAGAATGCTCTCAGGAGGGATGTCTCCTACAGGGAAAAAAAAATGAAACCAATGACCCCATGTCTCTGCTCACACAGAAGAAATGTTCAGAAGAAATGTTTGTTCTATCGCCAAACTTGGGGCATTAATCAATAACCGTGAAACTGAATCAACACTGGGGAAAATGGGATCACTATCACCTTCACTTTGAAACTCTCACCTTGCTCTATCAACCACCACCAACCTTTCACATCAGAACTGTATTAACTTCAATCAAGCCTGTGCATGAAGAGACCTACCCTAAAACAGGACCACCGGAACTCAAAGATGAAGAGCTGCCTCTGCCCTTGAGTCGACAACACCCACGATTGTGCAATGTGCTCTTCTTGTCTGTCAGCTTTGCATGATCAATAGGTCATGCTGGAGGCACTTTGGAGTGGCAAGCATCTGCCAATCTGCTTATGCCCTAAATAGGAGATGATCATTTTTGGAATGATGGGGAAAGGAGATAATGATGGGGAAAGGAAGCTAAATCCTCAAACTCTTTGAGAAAAAGGCAACACATTTGTTTTACCATGAAGCACTAAATATTCCTAACAGTTCTTCTCAGTATAGAGAAACTGTGACAAAGCAGCCAGAATGATAACACGTAGAAGATGAAACCAAATCTCTGTGTGGAGGGGTGACTGCAGCTCATCTGATACTCATCTGCTCACTGTCTCAGATTCACGGTGTTTAACAGGAACATAAAACTTAACATGATGTTCAAAATGTTTTTGAACACATAAAACCATGTGCTTCGAAAATATAAGCTTTTTAAATAGACAAAATTACTTCACTATCATTCTAAGATTATAATTCTGTTTTTCAAAATAATCATGGCTTGCCATTTGAGAAACAGGCCTATTCTGCCTGCTCAGACATCACTTCTCTGGTATTTCCACACCTCAGAAAAGAACTAAATGATTCAGCAACCTGACCAAGTGTGGAGTATGTATTGCTAGAGCTATCTTTAGTGCAGCCTCCCACAGAGAAAGAAAGTGAAACAGAAAGGAGGTTTGGTATGCACTAAGTAGGACAAAAATGACTACAATAAAATCACAGCTACTTTCACTAGTGTTACCCAGTCTGTCATACAAAACATCAGCGTAAGAACATATAGGGCAATCAGCTTTGAGAACCACAAACCATTATTAACAAATCACCAAGCAAGTTTAGAAGCAAAAAAAAGTACTCCTTCTTAGTAAAAGTTTCTTCAATTAATTCCACAATTGCCTGCCATACCCATCATTTTAGGAAGCAGACACAGACCACAGGAGCAATGGATGACGGGGAAGCATCCCACGGACAACTGTACACAGACAGGCTAAGTAGCAATGGAAACGCACAGTGACAGAGTCTGCTCTGTGCACTCATCATCCAGTTTGTGGAAATGTCATCGTGAGATCAGGCCCATCCTACTCTGCTCATCTGGTTTTCTTCTACCTTGCTCTCAAAATCCTAATGAAGAAAAATTAGAGGGGAGCTAAACACCAGACAAACACCAGTCTTCCTCATCTAGGAGAGCCAGATTTAATAGCTATAAAAAAAAAAAAAAAGAAGCCTCAAGACAGACTCAACTCAAGATTTCACAGCATACTGACCAACCCAGAACATTAAACTATAAAGAGAAAATTACTAGGAGCAAGAGTTAGCAAACATTTCAGGCAATAAATGTGAAACTG